TTTAATCTGAGAGAGGAGAGATCTCCAGATACTGGATTAGCACCCTCAGAAGTCTCTCTGGGTTTTGATTAACTATTAGCAAGCAACAACTAATGGTTATAGTTTTAAAGGAGGAACGTGTATATCATGTGCAAATCTCCTGAACTGCACTGTAATCTTTTCAGAAGCATTTTTTAAAGTACGGCAGTGTCTGCATGTTTCTAAGCATTTGGATCTGAGTAGGACAAAGTGTGAAAACTGAGGCTGTGAAAAATAGAGTCAGGGAATGCTTTGAAGGCAGAGGAGACTCAAACCCTTATACAAAGGCAGCAAGTGTTTGGTTCTGAGGGGACAAAATATTTCATTCCTCAAAAGATCATCCATTTCTCTAGACAAATCAAATGAAAAAACAAGCAAAAAACCACTCCAACTTATCCACCTTTTCAAAATACAATAAAACAGTAGTGTTCCATACTGGGTAATTTGTTACACTGTGCTGATTTAACCACTATATATTCTCCAGTTTTATGGCAGTGGTATTTCCCATTAACTTTGTCAGGTAACAGGGACCTGACCTTATGTCTACCATGCTGTAGACAAAGCTGCTAGCAGCAGTTTGATAAGATATTTGGACTGCAATGATCTTCTGAATGTTGGGTTTTGGTTATCCTGGAAACTGAATGCTTGATACATTTGATTTGACAGGGAGTAATGCTTTATAGTTCATTTTAAACATGAAATTAATGTTTTATAGAAGAGCACTGATATCTGCAAGTAATCATTAAGAATGTTTGTTTTTCCCTGTAGACTGTAAAATAGTTACTTTTGAAACTTTCCCTTTCTTTTAACCTATCAATTACTTTATTTCCAAGAAATAAGAGTAAGTTTTCATATATAAATACAGAAATTAAATGTTTTAGCCATTCTAGGACACTACCTCTGATAAATTAGACTTTTTTCATTATGGACTACAGCTTTCTTATAAGGTATATAGCCTGAAATATTTTTACATGGTAATATATATTTAAAATCTTTGTGTTTAAAAAGGAAAAAAAAATCATTACTACTGGCTGCTATCGTATTGCTATGTAGTACCATCATCGGTAAGATAGAGAAAACAATGTAAAACAAATTGAATAATTAAAATGAGGGCACAGAGAGACCCAATGTGTTTGCTGAACTAAATGAAGGTTCAACCAGTAATTTATTAATATCTGATGCTTTATGGAGCTGGTTTTCCACAGCAAAAAAGCTGTATACCAAATTGACTAGGAAGAGGAATCTACAAAACTGTGAACAAATTAGCTAGAAGAAACAAGCAGGGAGAAGTAAAGTAGAAATACATGATCAACAGTTGAAAGCTGTTTGAGAACGTTTTACTAGGTGCTCACAGAACAAATTAGCCTAGTTGAGAAGTAAGGCATTACGGCTGCTATCACTTAGACTGTAGGGCTTATGAGGGTGGTGGGAAGAATCCACAAAATAAAAATCCTGTCTATCTAGTTGGCAAAAAAGGCAAGTTGATGGCAGTTAGTATGAATTCAAATTTAGGGAGAATTAACAGAGGAAGCAAAAGAGGGAAGCAAAGTCTGTTGCCATGTAAAGCTTACAAGAACAAAAATAAAGGTAATAATACTGTTACTGAATGGAAATAGTAACATCACCGAGTTCCTGCAGCATCTAATTTTTAACCTGTTCTTGTTTAATATTTTTGTCAAAGATATGTAAAACCATTTAAAAACATCACTGTTAAAAATTTGGAGATAACAGTTGGAGACAGCAGTTGGAGAAATAAATAAAATAGATGCTTGATCACTGATAAAGAGAAGATAGGTTCATTTGCTGAGCTAGGTTCAGACAAGCAATATATTTTTTCAGCATGCCGAAATGTAATTTTATGCATTGAAATAACGAATGCAGGCTATATTTCCATCGTTATTCGTGGAAGAAATTATTCGTTAAAAACAGAAAACCCTCCCACTATCCCAAAAACTGGGAATCATAATCATCGGTTGAAACTGAACTCATATTGTTATGCTTTGGCCAAATGGCCTGATATATCCAAGAGCTGCATCAACACAGAAATACTGAATAGAATAGCAGGGGTCGTGTTATCTCTGTGTTTGGCATTGCTCTGAAAGTGACTGCAATGCTATTTTTTAGATGGATATACTTCAGAAAGGACATTGAAAATTGGAGATGAGTCAGCAAAGAGTTGTAAGAATGATTAAGGGTTTGGAAGTGTGCTATGTGATGAAAGATTTAAAGAGTTCAGTCTGCTTAGTTTAGCAAAAGCGTGGTTAAGGGATCATTTGATTGCAGTCTTAACTTATTCTTGTGAGTAGCAGAAATGTGATAATAGATAGCTTCTCCACCTAGCAAATAAGTAAAATAAGAACCAACAGCTTGAAGCTGAAGTTGGACGAATTCAGGTTAGAAATAAGGTGCAAAATTTTAACAGGGAAGGTAATTAAACACTGGAACAACTTACCCATAACTGTGGTGCCTTCACAAACACTGCAAATGCAGTGTTAATCAAGATTGCATGTCTTACTGAAAAATGTAGTGTAGTTCAAGAACAAGTGTTGAATAGAAAAGAGCAGATATTAGGCAGAAATTAATGCAGGGGAGCCTGTAATATGCAGGAATTGCAATACTCACTTCTGTCCTTAAAATCCAGGAGTCATTTGTGATGCAGTATGGTGGCTAACACATGCTCGTTTTGATTCTGGCTTAACAGTTAGAAGAAAATTTAAGGTATGTCTCTATGACACAATGTGATGCCACGCAATGGTATCCAAGCTGGCTCTGAACAAGCTAGGTTGGGTATCGAAAGCGTCCCAGCTGTGCTAGCATGGTTGCCCACCAGGGGTAATATACAGTGCTTTTTAGCAGGACTGAATGGCTTGTATGCAATGCTGTGTGATCGGTTTCTTGCTCTGAAGAACCATACAGGCAAGGAATCTTTGAAGTAAAAATAAGGACTGCTCATAGGAGTAGGGAGGAGTGTCTAAAATGAGATTTGTCTTTGCTGTTTCCATGAGCTGAATTGGATGAACAGAGAATTTTATGAAAGAAAAGTTATTAATTACTGAGAGAGCAAGAAACCATATTGGGCTCAGAAAGTCTGTGATGTGAAAACAGTTGGAGGCTGCGAAGTAGTCTAGGAACATACCAAAAGCCCTACTGCTCTTTCCAGAACTTCCATTTATCTCCCTTTTGGAGACAGGATGCTGGACTGTTGGATTTTTGGTCTGACCTTATGTGGCTTTTCTTATATATGTTCCAACAATGTCTATATTTTGTACTATTACACTCTCAAAAATCAAACTTGTAATGATAGCTTGTAATGTTCAAAATGAGACATATAGATATTTCAGAACAAATATATATGTGAAAGAAGAAATATTTTTGTGTAAAATAGAATACAAGGATTAAAAAAAATATTTTTAATTGACTAATCATATCAGTTTTATCCTATCCATTTAAAATTGGAATGTGCTTGTTCTTCAGTGAACTGTCTTTTGGTGTATTTGACAGATTTATAATGCAGTTAATGTCTCTGCTCTTTTTTTGAGTTTCAAGTGCAGGCCAGAGAAATTCAGGAAATGAGTCTATATTACTACATATTACTTTCCAGCTGTTGAAATGACTTTTTCTGTCTTGTTTCTCTGAATATTGTGAAGCTGCTCCATGGTACAGTGTATGGTTCATACTGTTTATAGGTTTGTTAGTTGACAGTAGCACATCTGCGGCCCAGCTATTTAGAGCCATTAAGGCATTGCTAGAGAAGCAAAAGAATTTGAAAAGTATTTGAATCAGAATGAAAACTGTATAATTAAAAGGTAACTTTAATGTATTCCATTATGTGGATAACGTGGAGCTGCCTTGCTGGAGAATGGGTTGGTATAGACAAATAGAAGAGCAGAGCATTAGGAAGTTGACCTGATAGCTAGTGCTGTCTTGGGCTTTTCTACTTGATGAGTAATGGTACACTAGCAGTACGCTATATACTTACTTTAAAAATCTAACTATAGCAGGCCTGGAAAGATTAATGTACAAGTTCTTTTGATGGCTTTTTTTCTGTTATGCATCTCTAGAAGTTCATGGAACTTTTATATAAACTTTCTGAAATGACAGAATGTGTATTAAGAAAAGTGAGACTTGGCTGTCATATTTCTGACCAAGGGTATCTGATATAGCTCAGGTCTATGCCATCTAGCAAATAGTTGTACTAAACTTCAAGACATTCAGATGTATTGAAGCTTTACACTCAGGTTAAACATATTTTGCTTTCATTGTTATGTTTCACAATAAACCCACTTTGCTTTTTTAAAAAAATACCTTATAGCTCTTATTCTGTAAGTATTGTGTTATGTAATTATTTATAAAATGGGTCACATTAAATCTCCTGGTTTTTGTGCAATTTTTAAAATTTAAAATTTAAAAACATTTAAAGCAAGCAACATTTTTAAATGTTGCTTGTAATAGCCACAAGAAAACTTAAATGATAAGCATTAATCCACATGATTTGTTTTCTTGCTAAAATTTTATTTAATATTCATACTTTTAAACAGCTATGGGTTAAGGGCTTTATCTAGGATCTGGTCATGCAAACATGTATTTCAGTGAAGGATTTCTTTACGTGAGTGCTATTACTGTCTGCAGGATCAAATTCTTACTGGCTTATTGTTAAAATCCTTTTTTTTCTTCAGAAATGTTGGTAGGGTAAATTGAAATGTAATGAAATGTGATATTTTATTCCTGAAGATTGCTTAAAACTGAAAGGTAGATGTGAATTTTTTTAATAAATACAGAACAGATTCTAATTAATTTATCAGTTTACATTTTTGGGTCCATTTATAGTTGCAATGAAAAGGGGAAACATAAAAGGGGAAAAGTAGCTACATTTTAATACTGCTAACAATATTATGTCATTCATATATTCTATTAGTAATGCAGGTAAGAAGTCACAAGAGCTGTAATTTGATTACATTTTTGGGGTTTGTTTTCCTTTTCAGTCAGTGGTGAAGACTGGGCGATTGCTGATTAGTCATGAGGCTCCTTTGACAGGAGGATTTGCATCTGAAATCAGTTCTACAGTTCAGGTAACAGATTGTTTGTATTAAAATGTTCTGCATACTTGAATATGTTTATCTGTAGAAAAAAATATATATCAGTATGTTCAAAGCTGACATTTTCATATTTTTTAAAGTTAATTTATTTTAAATTGTATTTAAATTACAGTTTTGTCTATGTTTGCATTACTTTATCTGAACAGCTGAGAAACCACATACCTGCCATGCACTATGTTAAGCATCTACTAAGATAGAAAATTTAATTTTAGCTGAAAAACAGGTAGGATATGCTGTCAGGTGCAGTAGAAATATCTTTTTGTATAGGCTATTTTTAATATCCTTTTTTTTTTAAACCTTTGTCATATTTTATTTAAAACTTGTTCAAAAAATACGTTGTGGGAATGGTGAAGTTAGAAACAGGAGAAAAAAACAGTTCCCCCAAGTATTATATTTAATGTGCAGAGATCTTAGGAAAGTAAGCTGGGAAGGTTGCTCATGTGGGCTTTTGGTGATATTCACAGATGCGCAAAGCTTGTGTGCACAGAAGAGCTTTGAAGGGTTGTGATATACATCGGTATCAATTGTCCGTAGAACGAGGCTTCGACAGAAGCCCTTTTGAGCTTTCTCCTATGTTTTGTATCTGTACTTGCATAGATTCTTCCTATTAACTTGATTTCTTTTCTGTGCACATGAACAATGCTGGTTTATAGAAGATTTCAAAGTTAATTTTATTCATCACCATCTGATTACTATTTTCTGATGATTCTTAGAGTAGTCCAATTTAAAATTATAGGTCTAAACAGAAAAGCATTTCTAAAATTCACTTTATCATCCTTAATTTTATTCAGCTTTTAATATCAGTTATTTTTAAGAATATCTGTACTGTAAAAGAGATTGGAATATAATGTATAAGGCATAAAAATTTATTAAAGATTATTGCTTTAGGCATAATAAAGACTTCGCTTTTTTTAGTCAGTTAAGATATGTATTCCCTTAATGATCAAGTCTATATGTCTGATATCACAGTGTAGTAAAAGTAAAAAGGAAAAGTGAAATTCATTTTTGCTGAATGCAATATATACTAAGAATGCCAAAAACTTGGGGATTGCAGTTGACTTTAATTTCTTCTTACATATGGAAGTAATAAGACTTCAGTAAGGACTATCCAGGTGGTTACTTTCCATATTGTTGTTCTGTCCTTGTTATGAGGGGTCTTATCACAAAAAATAAGGTGAATAAAAATACACAAGTTAAAAGTGTAAGAAACATTTTATGGTGATGTACACTTTAATGAAATAAGTATAAATAGAAACAGTGGCTTCTAGTCATGAACTATATAGGGGAAAACTTCATTGAGAAGGGTTTGTTTTGCTGCATAAGAGATTAAAAGTAGCAGTTGGAGACCATATTAAATAAGAATTCCTCTCCGTCCAATATACAGTATTTAGAAGGGACACATTATTCCATTAAGCAATATTTCACTGATTTCTTAAAACACTTACAGCTAAGAAAGGAGGATAGAGTGGTGTAGTGAGATAACTTTGTCCTCCTTATTACTAAGGTTTTGTATGTATTTATGGGTATTTTGATGTGAACAACAGATTACAAGATAAATATAGGTACAGTAAATCCTTCTTATTGATTATATAATCTATATAAAAGCTTGCAAAAGTGTTACTTTCAGCAGAGGGAGCACTAAACCTGTTTTAATTAGGAATACCATAGGAGCATAGTTGGCGAACCCTTGGAAAAGGGCCTACTGAGATGTCAATTCCACAATAAGGAAGCATTGCGATAAGGAAGTCATCAGTATATTACTTACCTGTAGCACAAAAGAATGTAAATCTGGCATTTGCATCCCTGTTAAAGAGAAACAGGAAGGATGTTTTCAAAGAGAGATGACAGAAAAGTTCCCAATGGAGACAGAAGTAATTATGTTAAGGTATGCGATAAAAGGCTCGTCTCCACACAGAGGAGCACAGGCGCATTGTGAGGGGAAGTCCAATAACCAGGTCAGGGATGCCCCAACCCAGCTCCCACAAGGCTGTCCCAGGGGAGCTGTCAGCCCCATGGTGAAACCCCTTGGCAGGAGCTGACAGAAGAGGCTCTCCAGATCACCTTGCAGACTGGGGGTTACTGCCTAGGGCGTGTTGGATTTATTATGGGATGCCAGGGAAAAGCGTTTTGGGAATATACAAGACTTACTGTGAGATGTTTAAGGAGACACCAAAAGTAGGAAAAGGGAGGGATCAAGGTGGTTTGAGAAAGGACAAGCATGGGAAAGCAGAGGGATGAGGGGATAAAAGGGGTCCATGGCATGGAGAGAGGAGAGCCGGGTGTGTACGTGCATCTTCAAGGGTTAGAAAACTGGGGGACTTGGCTACTGGAGGGACCAGGAGAGACGCGGAGCTCAACGCGGAGAAATAGAGGTTAGGTTTGAACTGATAGCCACTGCTGCAGCTCCTGTGGCTTAATGACCTTTACGTACATTAAACTGACAAGAGGAGGAATTTATATCAGGCATATGGCAAGTGCACATTGTGTTATTTTACTTCTTCAGTTTTGTTAATTGTGTTTCCAAATTTGTAATCACATTTTCACTTTATTTTAATAAAGTAGTAATCTTTCACCTTTTAAGGGTCTACGGTTCAGATTTCCTTATAGGTGAAGTTCACCTACCTAAATGTGTGTTGTTTCTCTGGAGGTGTGCATAAGCAATCAGGGAGGATTTTGAATGTTTTGAAATTGAGTAAAGCTGTAATCCGTGGCCATCTTTTGGTAATGGTAAAAAACTACCTTATAGAGAAGAAGCTTGCAGTCCAACTTCCTCCTTCCTGTTGTCATATTGACAAATTAAAGATGTTACTGTGACATAATTTCAGAAAGAAGTGAAAGTCTTATTAGAGGACTGTGAAACTAAAAAATTCTACAAGTGAAAATTAACTCAGTTGCATGAAGAACTAATCCTTGATTTTAGAAGTCTTTCATGTGTACAAGCATTGAGAACCCTTTTATCAGAACTCTATTTGTCACCGCTACTGCGTCATCACTGTTCCTATTTATGTTGTGCTTTTTCTCTGGCTAATGAAGGGATTATTATCCTAGCTTGCTTGCACTGTGATGAGCCTTTGAGTGTAGCAGTTTTGATGTCTTTGTAGAAAGAGGAGTTTCTTGCGAATGAAGCAGCTTTGTTGAGCAGGCAGTGTAATGGGAATAGGGAAGCTAAGCATAAAGCAGTAATCCTACAGTAATCAATTATAATCAGTTGTAAGACTGCTGTAGATAGAATAGTGTTTTTGTTTCAGCACTGAATATCTATTGAAATGCTCATCTGGGAAGTAATTCATAGGTGATCTTTTAAGATGTCATCTCTTAGAGTTACTTCAAAATTATTTATTGTTCACTCTGACATGTAATGTATTAGAAAGTTAAACCTAAACTGACGGTCTTATAAATCTTACTGTGATCTATTCAACATATCAGATTTGAAGATAGTTCTAGGATTCTGTTTTAGGAAGGAATTAAATGAGCTATGAAACTTTTTTTTCCTTCCTCTAAAAAGTAGGCAGCCATTTGGTATGAAATACCAAAGAGAGAATTATATTTTCTGTTTGTTCATAATGTGTTAGAAGACAGCACTTGAAATCTGCGCATGGCTGAAAACTTCCTGGCATTCTGAAGAATCCTGTTTGATATTTCGTTAAAAAAGTTCTGAATTATACAACTTCAAAAGGAATGTCATATGAATCTGAAACAAATAGCTTTTGTTTGTGAAACTGGTTTTCAAACAGTCACTAAGATAATGTTCAGTTCCTGTAATTTGCTATTTTTATGTAGCTTCTGTGTATGACATTGTACGCACTATTTTGTGCATTAGAGACTGTTCTGCTTAGTTTCTGGCATGTGTGGGGCCAATAAATAGCAACTACTTGAGCACAGGATTTTGTCAGGGATGAGATGACATAGTACAATATATGACGGATTTTTTTTTTAGTCATTCAAGTCACCTTTCTTGTCCTTTTTTATCCAAACTCTTTTCAGAAAAATATAGTACTATTCTCAGAAGTGAAGGTAATTTGGCAGAGAAAGTATTCAGAAATCAGAAAGTTGAGGAGAGCAAAGTTAAGAATTGCTAGGGTAATTTATATTTAGAGTAGTTTAAGATATAATATATTATTGTCTTCATTCTTTCAGCAAAAGAGGAGATATGATTTAATTGTGTTTTTTCTGTTACAGTAGTGCAGCTTCTTTTCTTACTACATGGTAACTGCTTTGTTCTTGGGGATCTGATATGCCCTGGAGGGATCTGGAGAGCAGGTGATGTTGAGTCAGCTACCGAAGCCATGGAAAGGAAAACTGAGTTCTATTCTTAGGCTTCCTTTCAGAAGACTTATGTTTCTCATAAAGTTACATAGATTTCAGGCTTAAAATTTAAAATTAGCCATGGGATATGTCCCAGTAAATTCAGTGAAATGATATGTATCTCAGGATTGAGTTACACTATCTTATTTTTTCTGTTCTTTGGTTCTGTATGTATAAATTGGATATAATCATCTTTGTCTATTTAGACTGGAGATGCTTTAGATTTGCTGCTTCTACTTCAAAATAAGGCCTAATTTCTAATAAGTGGGGTCATTTCCTGCTGCTGTGGAACATTAGGGGAAACTGTTAGACAAGCTATTTTGTGGGAAACATTTCTGGAAAAGAAAGGTTGATATGTCTAGGAATGTCTTTCAAAGATGTACCAGTTTCAAAGCAATTTTATTCTAAAGCAAGTAGCCTCAGAAAGAATTTTCCAAAATAAAAAGCTAGAACAACAAAAAAACCCTTTAATTTCAGCAGTATGAATATTTACAGTAAAATAGACCTATCTGATATTGGATAGAAAATATCCTAAATCATGCTTCATTACCTTACAGAATCATAAAGGAAAGAGTTCACCTTTCCAACATTATGCTTTCATAATCTTTGAGCTAAATCGGTTTTCATACCCTCATATTATATGTCTTCAGAATTTGGGAGGTTTAGAT